GAGGATGAGACCAGTACAAAAGACGTAGGAGTCGCCACCGGGGTAGAAGCTGAAGGAGCAGCAGCCTTCCTTCGAAAAGAGGGTAATGGTGCCCGGCTCCTCCGAGAAGATCCCTTGCCCGAGAAAAAGACCTCAAGTTAGCAAAATGAATCCACACAATGGGAAGAGGAATGACCATAGTCAAAAGATTACCTATCAAAGGAAGGGCAGGTTTAAATCTCTTGAAGAAACTCGGCTAATCGCGAATTCCTATGATATAGGGGAGGAGCCGCTCGACCCAATCCAAGATGTGAGTGACCAAAGGAGGAGGGTGGCTATTGGCTGCAAAGGAAAAAGGTGAGAAATCAGAATTCGGGACTGAACAAACAAAGAGGAGAAACAAGGTACTTATGAGTGTACTTCCAAGCCTCAAGAAAGCTATTGACATTGGTCACAACGTCCTCGGTTCGGACAATAAAAAAGTTAAACTAGAATTGACGACTGACCTTGTCGTCCATCTTCACCACCAAGAATTTTCCCCCTTGGTAGTGAAGGTTCAACATCGTTCCCCTATAAAAGCTAGGGGAAAATAGATGTATTAAGTGTTGCAATGTCAGTTTGACCCCGGCCAGCTCGGCAAACTTAGTGAGCATCTTTATAATTTTATAGATGTACGATGTGAGTTGAGCAGGACAAACGCCGTGGTGGCGACAGAACTCCTCCACCAGTGGAAAGAGGGGGAAAGAATAGCTGATTTGGAAGGGGTAAGTGTAGAGAGCGCAATACCCAAGGCGGTGAATCTGTACCATGTCCCCTTTGGCCAGGATTAACTCGATATGATTTGGGAAGGCCGAATATGGCTTTATGGCTTTGAGTTCCACTAACTCCTTTGTCGTCATCGTTGATTGAAAAACTCCAGGCGCATCCTTTGGTAATTTGGTAAAATCAGATCTGGAATCAGGGTTACGTGGGATTATCTCCTCCACAAACGGGAAAGCTTCATCCTCAACAATGGAGGAAACGCCCTCCCCATGGGGGAGGGGGGGGGGTGGAGGGAACACCAATGCTAAGGGAATAACACGACTCCCTTCACTAGCACCAGAAGATACGTTTGACATGATTCAACATAGCGGAGGAGAGTAACAAACAAGATGGATTGAAGAACAATATAGGTCAATGAAACGGAGAAAAGATACTCAGAGAAGGAGAAAGCAAGAGAGAAGTATGGTGCTTCGAAACGGTAGAGGATTTAAACTCCAAAACTAGGTCCAAGGATCTCTACTTATAGAGGTCATGGCGCCAAAACCAAAAATGGTTCATCATGATGGGCATCGGAATCGAAGCGGCAGGTCTAATCGAAGGTCACACACGAAACGAAGCCACACATCGGGAACATGCGTTATAATGACGCATGATGTCCCTTGGATAGGGTAACTCCAGCAAATCACCGGGGAAATTCGAAGGATTTGAAATGTGCGGCTCACAGAGGGCCACGTCGCCTGCTCGCCGCAACAACCACGACCCATATGGTCCGCTTGATTAGATCGACCTCCAACAACATAATCCGCTCATCGAACCCGCCCACGAAGTCGACCTCAATAAGCGGAGGGACTAACTGTATGGGTCAAAATTCATCCCTAAAGTGCTTAAGTCATGATAACATTAGCGAGATATTCACAGGCCGCCATGTGTCGAAGTGGTTAAACAGTTGTGACAAAAATCGAACCAATCCGGTCCATGTACACCCCTAATTATACCAATTGGATTAGTTTAAGCTAAGTTCTTTTAACACAAGGCATTATAACTAATTATCTTAAATTTTGTGATCCATCTTTGAAGAAGTAACTGTTTTTTTCTTTTTAAACTTTGACCATCATGTATATTGAGTATTAAAACAAAACCTTAATTATTGAACAGACTGGCGTTGCTGGAACCACAATCAATCAAGAAGCACAGATAGTTGAACTATAAATAAGGCAACGAATATGAAGAACAATAAACTAAATAACAGGACCACGCATACTGTCCTTCGTCAATTAGCTGTAACATGCATTTCAGTCTGACCACCATATTATAAAATGAATTATGAAATTTATAGCACTAATAATGTCATCAGTTATGATTAACCATAGAAAAAGCCTCAGATGACAAACGAAAATGATAAGTTCTGACACGGATGATTAAACAATATTAGGCAGCCAGTGGGATTTCATGACAGTACTTATGCATGCAAGTTTTCCTCTCCCTAATTAAGGAGCAAATTTAGAATTTTAAATCTGTAGTACCTGTACTAACTATGTATTATTATTACTTTTCCTAACAGTAAATATGGATTTAATATATAATGTATATATATCCCTTTCTCCTTCTATTTTTTGTTTTCTTCAGCTTAATAATTTGGAGTAGTAATTATCTGTGGCTTCCCGTCGTCATAGTCGGCATATATGCTTGAGTAGGTAACATGGGCTACGTAACGTAACAATGATATTTGTTTCTAGAATATTAGAATTTTTTTCCCCCGAAAATTACATTCAATATTGGAAAAGTTTCAAGCAAATATATTAGAGAAAAGTTTTTCAATTTTTGTGAAAGCAGAAAAACACATATTTACAGTAATTTTATGCAGAAAAAACTCTTCGTCCTGATGTTTGAATTATTTTTTTTTCAGACGTTAATAATTGACATGTTTGTTTTTGTATGGGAACCAATTATCAAAATAATGTCATCAAACCTTTCTTTTAGTAAGTGGGAACCAGCAGAAAGCCGTAAAATTAAAATAAACTGAGAAAATGTATCCTTAAAGCTTTATTTCCATCATCAAGTGTTATCTATACATAAAAGACAAAGGAAAAGGATGCGTGGGAATTAAAAACTAAAAGTCAATTATTTATTTTATTATATTATCTCCACCATCCTATATACATGTCACATATTGTTTGTGGGGCATTTGCGATTGTCAAAGTTAGGCCAACGAATATGCAGAAAATGAGGTGTCGTGTTAACATACTAGTACTAGTTAAGTGCCTGCTTAGTGCACTTTAAACTAATTTAGGGAAGAACTAAAAATGCACTTAAATTGTTGTATTAAATAGTAGAAAAATAACATAAAGTTGCTACTGTTTCATTATAGTAGTAGTGTTCGAAGTTCGAACCATGCATTTCAACTAATCTATGAACTGTTGTTTGTTAATACATGTAACAGGATGTAGTAACACTCTTTTTTCTTTTGACACATATGCTTCTCGTTGGGGCATATGCCAAAACGAGACCAGCTGCCCACACACATATCAATTCAGCAAAGATGATACGTAATTTTTTTGATAAAATACAAAATTTATCGGTGAGGCTAAATTAATTATATTCGCTAGCCAGAGACGGCTCAACGGATATAGTGGCCTAAAACCAAGCTATATTAAGAGACCTTTTCAATTTATTTTGTAAAACTCATATAATAATGAGATACAAAAGAATTTGCTTTTAGAGATAGTGAGTTCAAGTCAAAACATATATGACTAAATAAAGTAGCTAAGTCAGAGATAATGAGTTCAAGTCAGAAAATAAAATAGTCAACAAAGTAAATAAATTATTTAAAACTTGAAATCTTTTTTTAATAATTATTATACAAAATAAATTATATTTATGCATAATAATATAGTATACTCCTAATATTTTATTATTTTTTGGGGCCTTTTAGTTTTCGGGGGCCTGAGGCAATGGATCTATCAACCTCACCCTTGGGCCGCCCTTGTCGCTGGCTAAAAAATGTATAAAATATGTATATTATATATATTATGTTGGCTATTATTTTTGGAAGTGACACATTAAAGGGCAGCCCGATGCACGAAGCATAGGAAGGGCCGCACCCCAAAGGGTGTGATGTAGGCAACCTACCCTTATGCAAGTATCGGTGGTTGATTCTACAGCTCAATCGAACCCGTGAGCTATAGATCACACGCAGGGGCGGATTTACATGGACCCAAGCGGTGTCACGGGACACCGCTTCGTCGAATCTTTNCTATATATATATATATATATATATATATATATATATATATATATATATATATATATATAATAAGTAAAACAGAAATACAAGATAAAATCATTAAAAGTGACACTACTTGCATGAAATAGTTCAATAGTCTAGTGGTTGAGACTCCCTTGGCTCCACAAATATTTTTTGATGGTTACTGGCCTATTGCTAGAAATAGTGACAACGCTTGTGAAAAATTGTCACCGATCACACGGAGACAACTTTTACATTATGTGTCTTATTTTTCTGGGGTTACTTGTTTGATTGTCTGAAATTGGAAAACTTTTACTTGTGTTTTTATTCTTTTATAATTAAACAGGACCACTAAACCATTTGCCAATTAAGTGTAATATATTTTTTTGACATAAGTTATGTTTGTGACAAAGAAAATGAAATGTCTCATACTTTTCTGTATGAGAACCAAGATATCACCTAAGAGTAAGTTATGAGTCACGTGAAAGTGCAGTATTCCACTCTCTTCACCAAATAAAGCTCCACCCAATTAGATTTTACTAACATGGGGGACGTGATTAAAGAGTGGTAAGTTTCCTTTAATTTTCTCAATTGTAACGTGTGTTTCTTTATTGAGCGAGCAGCTTAAAAATGGCGGAAATGGTGGATAATGCTGTTCTGGTGTTCCCTACCCCACTGGCACCACGTGCACCTCCCCCACTTCCCTCTTCTTTAGCCCCCATTAATCCTTTACTTTTCCCTTTTTCTTCACTATCAGTCTATCACTATTGTTATTGTATATAGTAAATCCAAGAATTGTTAAAGAGAGTAGTTATTTGTGTGTTAATAACTTGTTCATAGTTGTTCCGCTTTTGTCTGCACGTGCATTTCCCACTCTTTTCGCCTTCTTTGTAAAACCAAATTCTTTATTTGTTGCTTGCTTTGCTTATTGCTTTCTTCTTCAACCTGCTCTCAATCATTTATTGTTCTGTCTCCTACCCCCTTCCACCCCCTCCCCTCTACCCCCCCCCCCCTCCCTCCTCATTTAATCATTTTCTCCTCCTCTGCCCAAAGCTACTAATTGCACCATTTATTTCCATCATTTTCCTCTACAGCACCCTTCATCTACTCCTTCCTTTCCGTTTACTCTTCCAGCTGTTTGATTTTATTCCCCAGTAAAGCTATATTTGGTAACTGCTATTCAAGTTCTGATCTTGGCTGAATTTTGTTGGGAAAGCTATCTGAGAAGGAACTAATCTCCGTGTGATGCTATTTGGCCACATGGGTATTGATATTCAGGTTCATTCCAATGTTCTTTTGTTACTACCGACAGTTCAAATTTTGCATTCTTTGCTTTAAGATCAAGAAACATTAAGTTCAACCTTTTTTATGTGTCTATACTCGGAAATATGTGAAGAACACGAAATGCCTGTTAGTTCCTTTTTTCTTTTTTTCTTTTTCTAGCTGCAGCTCAAATAGAAGACTCGGGAAAAAAGTTGAAGAGTTATTAGTCAGTAAATGTGGGCAAAAATTTTACCAAACTCTTGCTTTTCTCTAGCTATGTTCTCTATTAGTTTGCTTTGGTTGACCAAAAAACAAGTCTTTTAAGTGTCTACGTAACATTAGTTACCTTATAAACTCTATATTTATGGCTAAAAAACGGTTCTCTGATTTTTAATGGTAATTATTTATACTGAATAATGAACATTATGCCGTTTCTAACTCTTATTCCGTTTTTTCTATATCTTCAGATAGAGTAATGAAGGGGGGCCGTTACTAGTAGTTGATGCTTTTGTAATTTAGCTTAGAGGAGGAAAAGATGGGCACAAAGTTCCATTTCTTGTCAGTTTTATTCTGCTCAACTCTGTTCTGGTTAGCAAGCAGTGAACCATTTGAAGACAAAGAAGCGCTTCTTGATTTCCTTGATAATATTAACCACTCTCGCTATCTCAATTGGGATGTGCAAACTTCTGCTTGCAATTCTTGGACCGGAGTCACTTGCAATCATGATAATTCAAGAATTATAGCAGTTAGATTACCTGGAGTTGGATTCCGCGGCTCGATTCCTGTAAACACTCTAAGCCGCTTATCTGCTCTTCAGATCTTGAGTTTGAGGTCTAATAGTCTTAGTGGACCTTTCCCTTTTGAGTTTGCAAACCTTGGAAATTTGACTTCTCTGTATCTTCAGTCCAATAATTTAAATGGTTCATTGCCTGCTGATTTTTCTGCTTGGAAAAGCCTTTCGGTTTTGGATTTGTCATATAATGATTTTAGTGGGAGTATACCGTCTTCAGTTTCAAACTTGACTCATTTGACTGCTCTTGTTCTTGCTAATAATTCACTCTCTGGGAATATTCCTGATCTCAATCTCCCTAGCTTGCAACTATTAGATCTTTCCAACAATGACTTTACTGGAAATGTCCCCAATTCTCTTCAAAGATTTCCTGGTTCGGCTTTTGCTGGTAACCGGCTTTCTCCTGCAAATTTATCACCTTCACTTCCTCCAGTTCCTCCTCCAAGTATCCCACCAAAAAAGAAATCTTTAAAACTCCGTGAACCTGCAATACTTGGGATCGTAATTGGAGGATGTGTTTTAGGTTTCTTGCTAATAGCTGCAGTGCTAATTATGCGCTATTCGAAGAAAGAGGGTAAAAATGGGGCCATAGAGAAATCAGTCAAGAAAGAAGCATCGTTTAGGAAGGGAGCTTCCAGCAGTCAGCACGGAGAACGGAATCTTGTATTCTTTGAGGGTTGTAATCTCGCATTTGACCTTGAAGATCTGTTGAGAGCTTCAGCGGAGGTGCTTGGTAAAGGAACATTTGGCACTGCGTATAAGGCAGCTTTGGAGGATTCTACAACAGTTGTGGTGAAGAGGTTGAAGGAGAGTGTTGGAAGAAAAGATTTCGAGCAACAGATGGAGGTTGTTGGCAATATCAGGCACGAGAATGTGGCTCCACTTAGGGCATACTACTATTCCAAAGAAGAGAAGCTCATGGTCTATGATTTTTACAGCCAAGGGAATGCATCTGCAATGCTGCATGGTATGCTAATCACCCACCTAATTTCTGCTAATCTTGCTTTTGTTGTTCCTGAACCAATCCCTAGAGAATTGATTATCAGGACCAAAAAGATAGTTCAGATCATTTCTAGTCATGTGTCTTGTGCAACATTGCAATTTTTCAGCATTTTCCCCTGCTTGCAGGCTAATTCTAACTGTAATACCAATTAGCATTGAATCCACTAGGATGGAGTATCTGCTGTCGTAATCCTCATTGATAGTTTTTATCATCATTAGCTTATAGGACAGCATAAGCATCCTAAAGTCATAATATTAACTGCCAGTTTTAGGTCCAGTTTAAGTGCAATTTTGGTTTTAACTTGTCAAAATTCAAGAATATCCTGTTCCTCGAGAGGTTTTCACTGTTGGCTTCTATGATAAATATATCAGTGAAATAATGCCCTGAGTAGAACTTTGCTTTGGCATAATAGTCGACTCTCATCTTTGTTAGGTGGATAGTGTCTTAGGTGTGAAAGTCATAAACTCTTCTTCAAATTCTACATTACATACTCTTTCTCTACAAGATGCTGGGAATCCCTTGCACCACATAGTATGTAGATTTTGAGGAAGAGTATAAATAAGGCATATGAGATCTCACAATAACATTTTATTAATCATAAATAATCACCAACAAGAATTTGGTTCTTTCAAGTATTCTTATCAGTATATATCTAATGCACTTTCCAATTGCAGCAAAGAGGTCTGCTGATCGGATTCCTCTAGATTGGGATAGCCGACTACGAATTGCCATTGGTGCAGCTAGAGGCATTGCTCATATACACGGAGAGACAGGGGGAAAGCTTGTCCACGGGAACATAAAATCCTCAAACATATTCCTCAACTCCCAAGGGTTCGGTTGTATTTCTGATCTTGGCTTGGCAACTATAATGAGTCCGCTTGTTCCACCAGTCATGCGGGCTGCAGGTTTTCAACCCCCAGAAGTTACAGATTCAAGAAAAGTGTCCCAAGCCTCCGATGTATACAGCTTTGGAGTCCTATTGCTTGAACTTCTCACCGGAAAATCACCTATACATGCCACAGGGACGAATGAGGTTGTCCACTTAGTCAGATGGGTACATTCTGTCGTTCGTGAGGAGTGGACTGCAGAGGTATTCGACGTGGAGCTTTTGAAGTATCCTAATATAGAAGAAGAAATGGTGGAGATGTTACAAATAGGTTTGACCTGTGTAGCCAGAATGCCAGACCAGAGACCAAAAATGTCGCAAGTAGTAAAGATGGTAGAGGGTGTTAGAAGAGTGAATACAGGGACTCGGCCATCCTCTGAAGGTTCTACTCCCAACCTGACACCACCAATGACTGAAATAAGGTCGTCTTCTATTATACATTGATATTTCTTGTTATTTAGAGATTAGTTACTGTTGTCTATCGTCCATTTGTTTCTTTGTTACGAGTTCAAAGACATGGCTGGTAATTCTTTATTGTTTCAGCTATCAAATTGAATAGGGATGCTAAATAGTTAATTTCTCTCTTCTTGATCTCTCCTTTTAAGCTTGTTCGCAGAAAAGTATATCGGTCCGTTTGATATAGATATTTTCAATATAACTGATTCAATCACTGAATCACTTCATTAAGTCTGTGGTTAATACAAGAAAATTAGTACTACTTTTATGCTAATACCAAAGTGTCTGTACTTGAAAAGCATTGATTATTTTAATCAATTATCAATCAATCAGTCAGAATTTTGATAATATTAACCAAACAGGAAAAATATACCAGGTACCTTTGAGTTGTAATGGAATGAATTTGCGCACGGTAGGGCAGATTTCATAATATGCTGGACTGGTTGATGCTACATTGTATAACAGTTCCATAGTAGTAATTGCTGGGGCGCAAAAATAGGCTTCTAGTCAGGAGCGGAGCTATCTTTCTTCAAAGGGAGAAAATTACACCATTTACATAGCTCAATTTGTTTTCTATTTGAACATCAATTTGTATGTGGTCCGTATGTGGTCCGAGCGATCAAGGACATGTATGATGGAGCTAAGACTAAGGTTAGGACGGTGGGAGGCGACTCGGAGCATTTCCCGGTTGTTATGGGATTACACCAAGGCTCAGCGCTTAGCCCGTTCTTATTTGCCTTGGTGATGGATGCTTTGACACACCATATTCAAGGGGAGGTGCCATGGTGTATGTTGTTTGCTGACGACATAGTTCTAATTGACGAGACGAAGACCGGTGTTAACGAGATTGGAGGTTTGGAGACAGACTCTCGAGTCTAAGGGTTTCAAATTGAGCAGGTCTAAGACAGAGCACTTGGAATGCAAGTTTAGCGCTGAGTCGAGGGATGTAGGCGGGGTCGTGAGGCTTGGGCCACAGGCCATCCCCAAGCGAGATAGCTTCAAGTACCTTGGGTCGATGATTCAGGGGGATGGAGAGATCGACGAGGACGTCACTCACCGCATAGGGGCGGGCTGGATGAAATGGAGGCTTGCATCTGGAGTCTTGTGTGACAAGAAAGTGTCACCGACACTCAAAGGTAAGTTTTATAGAGCTATAGTTAGACCGGCCATGTTGTATGGGGCAGAGTGCTGGCCGGTTAAGAACTCCCATATCCAGAGGATAAAAGTAGCAGAGATGCGGATGCTGAGGTGGATGTGCGGGCACACTAGGATAGACAAGATTAGGAATGAAGATATTCGGAAGAAGGTGGGCGTCGTCCCTGTGGATGACAAGATGCAGGAAGCGAGGCTCATATGGTTCGGGCACGTGCAGAGGAGAAGCCTCGATGCACCGGTGAGGAGGTGTGAGCGGTTGGCCGTGGTGGGTACGAGAAGAGGTAGAGGGAGACCTAAGAAGTATTGGGGAGAGGTGATCAGGCAGGACATGGCTCGACTGCTCATTTCCGAGGACATGGCCCTTGATAGGAAGGCCTGGAGGTCAAGCATTAGGGTTGTAGGATAGGGGTAGTAAAGCTTTCCTTACTTCATTCCGGGGGTGAGGCGGGGTTGGATTAGGATTGGTCTTAGATGGCTTACAGTTTATGTTGGACCCACACTATTCTTGTTGTTTGTCTTAGCCCCGGGCCTTAGATTATGGTCACTGTTATTGCATGTCATTCATCTTTCGGTTTTTATGTTTCTGTTACTATTATGATTTCTACTGGAGTTACTAATGAATTCTCTCCTCTTATTTTTTCTTACTTTATTTTCGACTTTCTGAGCCGAGGGTCTATCGGAAACAGCCTCTCTGCCCCTATCGGGGCAGGGGTAAGGTCTGCGTACACATTACCCTCCCCAAACCCCACTATATGGGATTTTACTGGGTAGTAGTTGTTGTTATTGTATGTGGTCCGTTCTACATTTGGAGCAGGGCCACTTTTTGCAGTACTGAAATCCCCAGTTGCAATAGATGATAGTGGTTGACCGACATTATTTACTACGAGTAGGCTTTCTAGTTACTGCACTATATTAAATCCACAACGGCCATTTCTTATGTTTATACAGTTTCTGTCGGTATATAACTTGTCCCTAACCTTGAGTATATACGGTCAAATCTCTCTATAACGGCCTCGCTTGTTCCGAATATTTTTGGATGTTCTAGTGAAGTGTTGTTATATAAAACATAAATTATAACATAACATGAAAATTAGAGAAGTCTACTGTATTACTATTCAAGATTTTAAACCTAATGACTCCTAATTAGTACTTAGTAAATAGAGATGGTAGACGGTATTACCATATTACTTCAGCAGGATTGATTATTTTAATCAATTAGCAAATAGTCACATATTTAAATTATCAGAAAATAATTTTGCGAGTACAAGCCAAACAGGCACAACTATTGTAATGGAATCAATTTGCACATGGTTGCGCAGACTTCAGAATGCTGAACGTATTAAGTAATACATTTCCACATTAGCCATTACTGTGCCTTAAAGAAGCCTCCTACGTCCAGAGCACTCTTACCTTTTTCTCTTTTAAAATATCAACTTGCCTGCATTCTCTTACACCCTCCGGTCCACAATAAGTGACCAATTTGCTTTTTTATTTTGGTTCAAAATAAGTGTCCATTTATATAATCAAGAAAAATGACCAATTTGCTTTTTTATTTTGGTTCAAAATAAGTGTCCATTTATATAATCAAGAAAAAATTCAATTGTATCCCTAAAAAGTCATTTACTCCTCACATTTAAGAAGAGAAGTAAGTGCTACTATAACTATGCTGCAACATTTAATAAAGGGTAGTTTAGTCACACTAACTATTTTGTCTATAATTTAGTATTTCCTTAATGAGTGTGCCCAAAGCAAATTAATCACTTATTGTGGACCGGAGGAATTATTTGTTATCAATAAATGGGCTGTCTTGTTCCTAATATATGAAATTCACAATGGTCGTTTCCTCCGATGTTTTATACGGTTTAAGTCAATCTACCCTTAGGTGGAGAAACTTTTGTACAAGTTGTGCTTTCCAACTATTATAGCCACCAAAGAATCTCATCTTATAAATTGGGAAATTTACAATATTACAAAATAAAGCTGGAGAAGAAAAAATAGAAAATAAATGACAAGGAAAAAACTTCTAAAGATTTACAACAGGGCAACAAGCTATATAAATGGGCAGGCATGCATAGCTAGAGCAATGAAACTAGCTTATATGATAAAAATAATACAATTTGTCCCTTTTACTTTTCTGTTCTCTAATAAGTAAAAATCGATCACCTTTCCACATTGAATTATACAACCGGCTCCCATTGTCAAACAGCAAGACACACATTTGCAGGCATGCTAGTGGAGCAGTTGATGTTCTTAGACCATTACACACTAAGGGTTGCTCATTTCCGCAAAATTCTTGTTTTCACACCCCCTGAAATTGAGAAGAGAAAAAAATCTCACAGCATAAGAGAAATAGTTCAGATGCCAAACTAAGCCCAACCACAATTTGCAGAAAAAGTTAGTAATACAGAAAGAATGCAGAAAATGCCATAAAACCATAACCAACCTTCAACTTCCTCAAATTGAACTTCTTTAACGAGTACAGAAGATGCATTGTACTCAAACCTACAAGATTAAGATTATGAAACAACATAAGTATTAGGTAATTAAAAGAAAAAAACCTAAAGGGAATGGAAATGACAAAAAATATCCAAGGTAGAGGTGGAGGAAAATTAGCAGCATGTGCGCTAAAGACAATATATATATAATCACGAGCAACAAGCATTACATAGCAGTCCCAAATGCTAGACTGATCATGTCATATGAAATCTGTGTTAATTGAAATGTGTATAATATCACAATTTTTAGCACCAAAATTTCAAACAAGCAAGCATCTCAGTGTCAAGTTCCCATCGGATGCCTAGAGACAATAGCATGCTAATCTACCTCTAATCATGTGATAACATAGCTCCAACCCCGTCCGACCCCACACCCATTTCCTTTTTCTGTGTCCAGAACAAGCAATTTCAACCTTTCCATCACCTACAAAGGTGCTCCTTTGATTTAAGATTCATCATATGATTCAGTTTTCCCATGTATCGTCCTCGAGAAACTCAATAAATTCTATCTAAAACGTTAAAATGGGTCTACATCGTACATTGTTTCTTAGAAGGTCACAACAGAAAGTGCTTGATTAGAGAAAAAAAATGAGGTCAAATTGGAAGGTCAGCATCTACAATCATGATAGTTGGACATATTAGCAGTCTAGAAGCGATATACCAAAAACTATTGAGAGCATTCATATGAGGGTGGACAGTTATTTGCTGGGATATGAGCAGGTCCCAAAATTGAGGTAAACATTCTAAGTCTTCAATCTTTATCTCATACTATAGAAACCTTGACCCTATCATCCACGCTTCTTCAACAACACTGCCCTAAGAATCTATTACAATATCTGGAGATGTCTGTCCACATTGCAACTCAAAAGTTTGTCTAGTTAAGAGATACAACTAAAAGAATGATTTGGACTTCAAATATGAATTAGAAAATGACATTGCACCATTGAAGTTACCTATTAGAGAAGAGAACATCAAGTTCATAGTCAGATTGACTCTTGGTAGCTTCTACTAAGGTTGTTACTATTTCTGTCTTCCGTGTACTGGCCATGAGCAGATCATACTCAGTCGGGACAATAATTGCAAAGAAATTGTCACTTAATTCACTTAGACAGAGCTTCTCAACAGCTGCCAGGGCAATCCGCCTTTTAAGTGCACCACAATCTGGGTCTACAATGTAGACGGCGAAATCAGTTATAAGGAGAATCCGCTGCTTCATCTTCCCTGAGCCTGTAAACTTCAGAACTTTGTCTGCAAATAGAACCTTTTTGTCACCTGCAATAGGCAAATAGATCAACCTAAATGAGAAATTTTAATATGTAAAATGGAGGATCCACAAGAATCAATTCCACCAAGTTAAATCTGATAGGGGCACAAGAAGCAGTATTCTCTCACATTAAATTACACAGGTTGGCTAACTTTTGCAGCTGAAGCTGCACTCTGAGTCTAATTGGTTAGCTATCTAGGAGCTAAGCTCATCACACAAGAAGCTAAGCTGATTTCATAATACTGTGGGTACTATCGACTACTCTCATGCATCACTTGCTACAGAAGGGCCTGGAATTAAGGTTTTCACCTACTCTTTGACACAGGGACAAACATGGGGTTTGGTGGCCTGTATGAAAAAGTTTATGTGCTCTGTTTCGTTCACATGTTAACCGTAGATTGGACATATATTTTTGTTGAGTTTCCAATAGATATATCATCCAACTCCGAAGAAATTCCATATAATAACATAGACATATCCAAGTTATCATATACAACAGCCCTGAATATTCATCTCCTTTAGCAACTGTTGTCTTGAGAGTGGAGATAACTTCCACCAAGATAGTTTTTGACAGCCTTCTAAGCAAATCAGTTATTCGAACTTGATGAACATAAACAATGTGATGTGAAGGCATGCAATAGAGGTTGCAAGAACTAGAAGATACTGCGTTTAAAATGTTACTACTCCTTATTAATAGGAATAGCATAACTGAAGATTGGCAACAGAATTTACTCAGAAAACCAAATGCGCAGAGAACATAGCATGCTTCAATTTGATACTTCAACAGGAGGCTTATCTTACACAGGACAATGTGAGAAAAGAAGAATCTCATCCCAACCAGCAGATGCTACTTATGCAACGCAAATGCAGAAGATATGAATCAACTCTCTTGTATCACCCTGCAGCTAGACATATAAGAACATGTTTCTAAACCACAATCCTTCAGTGAATCCTATATCAGCTGGGGTCATTGGGTAACTCGATAGCTGTTAAAAGACAATAGCAAACCATTCTAAGCGGACATTTTAGGATCATCTGGAGTTAGAGAAACTTGAGATGTTTTAAGGGGGGTTTGGACGCAAGAAGCTTTTGAACCCTTTTTGCAGGTGTAATCTCGATAAGGTAAATGATGTAAATCAGATTTTTGGTTTTTCTCAGTTCCTTAAACGTTGTAAACGAGCTGTTTCAGGCTCATATTCAGTACATGGTTAACAAAGAACAGGTCTTTAGCAAGAAACATGCGGCTGAAATTCAAAACCTAAGCACAGGTCACATTAAGTCAAAGATAAAAGCCCAAACTTAACGCATTGAGATTAACTTAAAAAACCCCAAATTAACTTCACCTTAGTATTGAATCGAAACGATAACCAAAAATAAAATCAAGAGAATCTTAGAATACCTTGCTTCTCGAGAATCTTCATGAGATAAGGTCGAGAAGGCACGTCAAGATAATCACCCAAATAATCTCTATGAATAGAAGCTTTTCTACGGACTTTGAATCCCATAAAAGGCTCTTGATCTTCCGTCACATTGCTATCGGAGAGCCTCAACTTCAAATTTCCACCCACTTCGCCATCGTCGGGAATCGTGTCGTCATCGAAATGAATCTTTTGTGGTTGAGTTTCTCCCCTATTTGATAGAAAACGTGACATCGCCGGCGACGAAACGGTTAGTGGAAAGAGATACGAAAATGCCGGAGAAGAAATGTTAGGCCGAAGTGCCGATGTCTTAAAAAGTTGGTTTGATTTTGTTTATTTGCCGGTGGGGGAAGAAAGCGTGCACAGCTGTCGTCCATTGTTACATCACCTGGCGTGCCAGCTGAGGGCCCACTTTTCTTCTCATAGGGACCCACTTTTCCTATGTCCCGATAATTTCGAAACAAATTATCCCGGATAATAAAACACTACTTAGTTATATCAACGATTGTATCTCAATTAAATATTAGATAAATTTATCTCAAATTTAATTTTGTAATTTATAATCGCATATTCGTCGTACCAAGCGAGCCCTTATTTGTTAGTAGTAGCATATCTTTTTCATGTTCGAGGGATATATGTTTTTTCTTTCTAAAACGAGTAAGAACTAATTTGACCTAAAGGAGAACGAAGAAACTCTGCTTCCTTCAACAGTACCGTCACAAAATAACTAAAGGAACTATATTTTCAAGTGGTTGAGTGAGTCTACTAAACTTTTCAAATTAAAAAGGAAAAAAGTTTAAATTTGTACCTCTACTATTGAAAATTATCCACGTTAAACCCCGTTCTACTTTCCGGCTAAAATAATACCTGCTGTTACTAAAGTAGGAGAATTTGTACCTAAATCTAACGGATCTCCTACGTGGCAATCGGGTCCCCTATAATAATGTGCCAACTAGACTTTTTTTACCCGCCCACCTTTTTATAACCCGCCCCACTTTTAATTTGTTAATTAGCCTAGTAAAATATTTTCAACCCCGGTCAAAACCTTTCACCTTCATTTACAGAAAAATCTCTCGCCTTCTCTCTTCACTGTAAAAATCGTCTTCATCATCTTCATCGTGGATGCATACGAAGGTACCTATTTCCTTGTTAAATTAGTAAATCGTCATTTCTTTGGTTTGTTTTTTGTATGGACGGAAGCATATCGTTGCATTTAGTTTTGATATTTTGTTTCTTTGACTAGGGTTTTGACTGATTCATGTAGATATGTATTTTTTTAGTTAGGAGGTGTGTCTGATTTCTGTTGTTTTTATTTGCATGTGGTCTGTTCATACTCGATTTAACCCTAAATTTATTTTCCTTTTATTGGTCTTTATTACTGGTGGTTTAGGGTTTGTATTTTGTATTGGAATCATCCCTATCTGGTATTTTCTTTTTGTTTCGGTTTAGGGTTTCAATTTTTGTGGTCCTACATATATGGTATTTGACAGAAAAAGGGTCCCCTTTGTGTTGGATCTGTTTCTTTGATCTCTTATTTTGGGTGTTTGGTCCCCTATTTCTTATACACATGCGTTGAGTTAAGAGACAAGTGGGTCAGAATCTTTTTTTTTATATACTTCGTCCCCCATCATCTCTTTGTTTATTGTAGTTGTGTCTTCATGTGTGGCAGCCCACTATTTTTTTTTTTTTTGGTTTATGTATCTTTGTCTTCACTTTATGTGGTTCTTATGTCTTTATTGTATGATCCACTTTGTCAGCATATTATATAGGTTGTAATGTTACTTTTTTGTTAATTTTTTCCCTTTCTTATTCTGCAACTTATATGCAATGGTCTTATTGGATCTGATTTTTCATTATGGTGGTGATTGGATATATAATCCACAAGTCTTATACTCAAGGAAGCTTGTGCACACTGTTAAAGGTTTTAACTCTGACCAATTGTCTTATAACTATTTAGTAAATGAATTACTTCTAAGTTGGAGTTTATTGGGGTTCAACAAGTAGTTGTGAATGGGCCTAGTGGTAGATATTATGAAATAGAAAGTGATCAAGGTGTTAGGAGTCTACTGTCTTTGGTTAGTGATCAGTTTAATGTTATTGACTTCTTTGTTGTAGATGAGTGTGAGTTAAGTATTAATGTTCATAATATAGTCCAGCACATTAAGGGTTTGATTGATTCAGTCCACTGGGTTCTTCCTGAAGCACACCATAGATATTGTGTAAGACACATAGAGGCAAATTGGTGCAAAAGATGGGAACATGGGGAATATAAGAAGTACTTATGGTGGGCTGCATGGAGCACACATGAGGAAGATTTTAAAGACCAATTAAGGAATATGGCACAAGTGGATGAAGATGGTAAGGAGGCTGTTGAAGATTTGATGAAGTACCCACCTGAAAGTTGGAGTAGAGCATACTTTGACACTGTTTGCAAGAACTATTCAGTGGACAACAACCTAACTAAGTCCTTCAATTCATGGATCAAGGAAGCAAGATTCAAGCCAATTATCAAGATGCTTGAGGATATTAGAGTAAAGGTTATGAACATGCTAAGGGAACATGAATCTGATGTGATGTCATGGAGTAATGACTTCAGTCCCCAAACAATGCAACTGTATAGCCAATACTTGAAGATTGCAAACAAGTGTCATGTTCATTCCAATGGTCAAGAAGGGTATGAAGTGAGTGAAGATGGTGACAGACACACAGTGAATATGGTCAACAAGAGATGCACATGTAGGACATGGGACCTTAATAGAATCCCTTGTCCTCATGAAATCAAAGCAATGCAACACAGCAAAATAAATCCTTTGACTGAAATACACTGATGGTACTCCAAAGAGGCCTATCTCCTAGCATATTCACATAAACTTCAACCAGTGAGAGGAGAAAAATTCTGGAAGGTTGAAGCACCTCATGCAATGGAACCACCAGAATTTGTTAAGATGGCTGGCAGGCCTAAATCAAAAGAACAAGAGAAAAAAAATGAAATAGTCAACAGACAAGGTGAATGAATGCAGTCCAGGAATGGGAGGATAATGAAGTGTTCCACATGTGGTCAGCCTGGACACAATGCTAAGGGTTGTGCAAAGGTAATACTTTTTTTTCAATACTGTCTATTTTATTCACCTATTTACATATTCTATTTACCTATTTACTCTTACATATTTGTTAAATAGCATTCTAAGGGAAAGCAACCAATGGCAAGTAAGAAAAAGGGCAACCAAGCAAAAGAGGCAAAGATGTTTAACAACTCAAGACAGTAATGATGAACAACCCATGTCACCACTTGCTGCAAGTATACCAGTTGAGGAGGACATAGAACTTCAGCACCACTGTTCAGTCAAGCAAGTCAGTCAAGTCATCCAGTACAAGACTCAAACTTTCAGTTTATGCCAACTCCATCAGTGCAAAGGAAACCTCCCAACAACACTGTCCCACCAGATTTTGAGTTTCCTGATTTTGAATCAGATTCTGCCCCAGAAATTAGGCCAAGGACCTGAAGAAAGGACAAGACTGCTTAAGAGACAGCAAGGAACCATACCGGCTATAACAAGAACCATCAATTTTGTTGGTGACTCATCTGGTGTGAGAAAGAAAGCTATAACATGAAACCAGCTTGAGAATATGGCCAAGTTGAAGACAAGAAAGGGTAATGGCAAGTCACAAAACTAATGTGACTTGAACTATAGGTGGACAGCTTTTTTGTGTAGTGGAAGTTTTTGTAAATTTGAAGTTTAGAAGGCTTGTAATTACTGCTATGACAGTATTGTTGTTATCCTTTGCTGGTCGATGTAATTACTGCTATGACAGTATATTTTTTTGCTGGTTGCATCTCTTTTTTGCTGGTTGATGTGATTAAAACAGTTGGTGTTATTAGTTTGCTGTCAATGTTAGTAACTGTTAGTGTTTAATGTTTGTTGGTGTTAAGAATGTTATGACAGTTGGTGTGGTACATGTTAAAACAGTTGGTAACAATGTTAGTAACAGTTAGCTGTTAATTTGCTGTCAATGTTAGTAACAGTTGGTATATGTTAAATGTTTGTGTTCAATGTTATTAACAGCTTATGTTCCCTTTTCTATACTGTACTTTGATGTCAATGTTAGTAACCTGCTGTTGTGTTAAATTTGAACAATTTGTGTTAAATTTTAGTAACATGCTGCTATGTAAATGTTATTAACAATTTGTGTTAAATTTGAACACATGTGGGTGCTATAATAGGATGTGATTAACACCTACTAACCTGCTGATTTAGTGTTACTAATTCGATTAACTATTACTAACCATTGTTAACAGTCATATTCATTTCACTATTTTGATATGTTCTCATTGAGGTTGTAAATTTGGTCGAAAACTTTGAGGTAATACGTTCCCACAGAAAACAGAAGCTAAAAGTGACTAGTTTAGTCCAAAAAACACAGAAAACAGAAGCTAAACAGAAGGTAAAATTCAGTCCAAAAAACAGTTACATGAAAATCTACTTACTTGACTACACAATGATAATTAACTAGTTCCCTAGCAAACTAAACAATACATGTCAATTGACTACACAATGATAATTAACTAAACAATCAACTAAACAAGGAAGAACCATAATAAAATCTACTTCATTATCCAGGCAGCAAAAAATCCAACAAACATTGCCCAAGAACCAATTATCACCATCATTAGTTGTACAACTCTTTCTTCTAATTTTTTGACTTTAGCAGCTTCAAATTTGTTCATGGCTTCCATGTCAATTAATTTTTCTCTCAACTTGTCTCTTTCAATCGTACGGTATTCAAAGACGACTTCAAATCTCTTATTTCAAGCTGGGAACCATCCGCGGATATTTCATCTTCCCATTCGAAATAACCACATGAATTATTCTGCCAAAGAAACATTTAAAAGACTCAATTTTTTTCAAATCAAAACAGCTAGAAAGATTATAAAGATTAGACAAATCCACATCGACACCTTACCTTAGGACGTGCACATTTGTAAAATTTCCTACCGGGTTAGAGGGAGTGGTTGATGTGAAATGGTTGGCAATAATACCACATCGATATCTTCTCTGAGAAGAAGTACTGCTCTACGACATTGATGAAGATGAGAGAGGATAGAGTCGAGCAAAGGAGAAGAAAGAGAATTTGAAGAATTTGTGCCTGCACCCTATTTTTATTCGACTGAAATTGTTATGAGGGGGAATTATTATAAAGTGGGGCGGGGCGGGTTATTATAAAGTGGGGGGGGGGGGTAAAAAAAGCCTAGTTGGCACATTATTATGGGGTCCCGATTGCCACGTAGGAGGTCCGTTAGATTTAGGTACAAATTCTCCTACTTTAGTAACGGTAGGTATTATAGCCGGAAAGTAGAACGGGGTATTAACGTGGATA